TGGCCCCACGCATGGAATAAATCCACAAAGTAATTTAATGATTTGCTAATATCCCCCAACAGCAGCAGAGCCTCTCACAAGGATTAGCAAGAATTTAATCGTTTTATGGAGAAAACTGCAGCTTTAAGCAGAATTTTCTGCCTAGTTTAAGATGCCTGCATCCTCACCTTTATAGCTTCATTCTGCTGAGAAACTGTCTCCCTCAATCCCTCCGCCTTTTCCCCTCCTTCCCCTCTTTTAGATCATGACTGAAGAACTTTCTCTTTGACCGTGCTTACGGTCACCTCCTCAGGGTTGTGAGACACTACCCTGTGTAAATGCGAGGTCTTGTTGTTGATGATGGACCGGACAGGATAATTCTGTTGATACAATTGCTGTATTTTTACCCTCCGGACCTCGGTTTGTATGTAGCACAAATTGGGACCAGCATCTTCTCTTTAATGCTGTAAAATTCCTAAATAGGAATTTAGGCTCACCTTCTCACTCATTTACCGCAGTAACATCTTAAAGTCGCAAAGCACTTCACAGGCACATGTAGTGACTGTGTATCAGGAGGCAAATGAGGCAGCCCGTTTGCACGCAACATAACAGCAAGAACAACAACTTGCATAGCGCCCTCCATGCAAGGCAGCGTCTCAGAGCGTTTATCAATGGCGGAGGCTGACTCCGAGCCAGAGTGGGGGTTGGGGGGGTAACCATAAACCCGGTTGAAAAAGGTTTTCAGGCAGAACTTAAAAAAGGAGAGAGAGGGGGCCAAGCAGATGGAGAGCAAAGGTGAATGACCAATTTATCTGCAGCTTTAAGCAGAATTTTCTGCCTAATTTAAATGGCCTGTTTAAGCAAGATGTTAAGGGCACTATATAAATGCAAGTTGTTGTTGCTGTTGTTGTTATTTGATTGATGACCAAAGGAATCTTTAACATCCACCAGAGCAGGCAAAGGGGAGCTCAATTTCATCCGAAGGACACCACTCCCATAATATTGCAGTGGCGTGTCAGGCTAGACTGTGAGCTCACGTCAGTAACAGTGATCTTGAGCCTACAAATCATCTGACCCCATAGATGAGAACGCTATCGAATAAGCCAGGCTGACACCTTATAACAATGGAAAGAAATAAAATAGATAATGCCTTGGTTTGGACTTCTGTAATTAGGCAGAATTAATTAACACAAGTAATCCAGGATTTAGGACTGTGACAAGTGAGATGTGTGTGTCACAAAAGGTCGTCCCGTCCTTAAACCTGAGTGGGGTTTAAGCAACAGCGGAATTCATGTGATTGAGGTGGTTGGTGTGGGCCCAATCCTGAGGCTCACACTGGGATTTACTCTGGGGCACTCTTTTTCTGGTAGCAGCAGGTTGTTGACATTCTACTGTAATAACTTTTATGATAATAATTCTTGCATTTGATACAGTGCCTTATTATGTCTGCGAGGCGTCACAAAGCGCTTCACAGAAAATACTGTAAAGCGAATTGACTGTATGTTTTGGAGGCATCCGATTAGCAAGCTTGCCTTGCAAGGACCCAAGTTCGATTTCCTGGCAGAACAAAATCTTAAGCAAGTTTACTTACTCGACATGCATGCTTCTGTTTACCTAGTAGTAAGTAGGACTACCTAGCACTGCTGCGCACAATTGGCTGCCATAAGAGACATGTCAACGACATAATGAGGCGCTATATGAAATGCAAGGATTGATATCATTATTATCTTTAGAGTCTTGGATGGGGTGCAGAGGGTCAGGGGTTCCAAGGTGGGAAGAAGAGTAAGATCTGTAAAATGTTGGGAGACATAAGGGAGAGATTTACACAATGATTTTTATAAAATTCATTCATCAGGTATTTATTATGTGGCTCAGTGGACCAAGGTAGTTTACTGTAGATTACAGGAAAATTCTGTGCAGGAGATCTATGTTAGAGATTGAAATCAGGCGGGAGGGATTTAATTCACACATAAGTGTAGGTTTGACCCTGCAAAGTATTTTTTAATGCTATGCTTCTTGTTTTCTCCGAAAAGAATTGCAGCTTTTAAACTTTCAGTCTTCTTTTAATGTTTTTGGTCATTTCGGAGTGAAATCGGCAGGCAGTTTTTAATACGAAGTTAGTGGAAATCCGGAATTCTCTCCCAAAAGGTTGTGGATTATAGCTGGATCCATTCGTATTTTCAAGACTGAGCTGGATACATGTGTGTTAGGTCAGGGTATCAAGGGGTTTGGGGCAAAGGCGAGTAATTGGAGTTGAGATACAGATCAGCCATGATCCTATAGAATGGTGGAATAGTCTCAAGGGGCTGAATGGCCTCTTTTTTTCTATGTTCCTATGCTGTACTTTTTTTCCCATGCTTATTGAGAAGAAAATGTAAATGCATAATAATAATAATAATCCTTACATTTGTTATAGCGCTTATCATTTGATCAAGTCATCTCAAAGCACTTTACAGGATATACTGTAAAGTGTAGTGACTTGTAGCCATTTTGTGCACAGCAATGCCCAGCCATGAAGTGAACAACCAGTTTTATCTGTAGCATTTTTGGCCAAGATGTCGGAAGAGAGAAACTCCCTTCTCTCTCTAAATACTGCCATGGGATCTTTAACGGCCGCCTGAACAGCCAGATGGGACCTCGGTTTGACGTCTCATCCGAAGGACAGCGACTCCAACAATACAGCGCTTCCCCGGAAATGCACTGGAGTGTCATCTTAGACTTCCGACCCCTATTACCACTCCCAAGTAACTGTAATAGCACTAATGTAGAAGAGAGAGGACCCAGGTTTGATTCCCAGGTGGGGCAAAACCGTAGGCAGGTTTCCTTACTCCACACACCGCTGTTTACCTAGCAGTAGGAATTTGGTTAGTCGATTGTAATAATTCCTTCAAAAAACAGTTTCTCCCACAAAAAAACATGGTCATTGCACTTTACAGTACATTCTGTGAAGCGCTTTGAGACGTCTCAACAACGTGATAAGGTTCTGTATGAAATGTCAGGATTATCATTATTATTTCCAGGCTGTTCTGAGCTGCTCCTAAACCCAGCGAACGGAAACAGTGGGAGCGTGCAAGACTGCACGTTCTCTCGGACGCGAGAAAGACCGGCATGTCCGGAATTCAAACTAAGCGTAATTCTTGTCAGTCAGGCATTTGGTAACCAAGGAGATTAAATAGTTGGCTGGATAAAGCAAGGCGCTTTTCCTTGAAAGCTAACTAGATTCGAACAGGAGTTCCTTAGACCAAATCTATGTTGTAGCAATGTAGAGAGGTCGTACTGGAGCCTTGCATCATTACAAAGGAGACATGTGGAGTTGTCTTTATTTAAAAGCATTTCTGAAATTTAAGTCTGTATCATTAATGACAATCCAAGCCCAGAGAGCACAGAGGAGGATAGTTTCCAGCTAACTGTCTCGTAGAAAGAGTTTATGTTTTAAAACGCTTTTAGCTGCGGACAATTCAAAGCGCCTTTCACAGTTAATTACTGTCAAGTGTAGTAACTGCTTTTGTTGGTTAATGCAGCAGCCAATTTAGCAGCAAGGTCCCCATACACATTCGCACAGTTATGAGATGAATGACCAATTCATCTGGAGAGCGTCAGAGCAGGTTTGATCCCCGGGCCTTTCAAAGTTATCTGATCACAGCTGTTGAGAAATGGGTCAGAAATAGAACAGGGTTTGTACTCCTCGGAAGAGGAGGAAGCCATTCAGCCCCTCAAGCCTGTTCCACCATTCTATTAGATCATGGCTGATCTGTACCTCAACTCCAAATGCCTTCTCTTGCCCCATTCCTTTGATACTCTGACCTAACAAACATCTATCCACCTCAGTCTTGAAAATTTGGATGGATCCTGTTTGCAATACAATGATCCCTACAGGATGTTATTATATATTATATAGTGCAGCAGGGAAGAGGACATTACAGCAAGGCTTGCGTGTCCTAAACATTAGTGGAGTGATCAGAAGAGTGAGGGTGCAGAAAAGTCGTGTAGTGGTTAGAGCACTCGCCTCACAAGCGAGAGGACCCGGTGTTTGATTCCCAGACAGGGCGAAACTTTAGGTAACTTTCCTTACTACACACGCTTCTAACCCTAACCTTAACCTATTAGTAAGCAGGAACATGGTTAGTTGATTGGCAGATCGCTTTTCCGGGGATAATAATTCCTTCAAATTTATTTTGTAATCCATGATTGTTGGGCGCTGTGGGACACTGCTGTGCGCAATTGACGTGTTTCGCCCAAAAACTACACAGTCACTTCAATTTACAGTATATTCTGTAAAGCGCTTTAAAATGTCTCAATGACTTGGTAAGGTATATCAATTGCAAGGATTTTTATTATTATAATAAGTTTATTGTTATTTCATTTTAAATAATGCTACAATTACCAAATTGTATTTTGATCCGAATCAGGTCGGAAATAATAAATGAGACACCATTGCATTTCTCCATCAAACAGGACAGAGAATGGAGTCAGATATTGGGCCCATCACCCCACCACCTGCCCCAACCCCTTCCTCTCTCAATAATCTTTCCAGCTCAGCCTCCATTGTCTTTCCCCTCCAGCACCACAACAAGTTGCGTCTTTCTGTTCTTACTTGATGTGGTTCAGAGAATTGTGGCCCTGATTTCCTCCCCCCACCCCTGGCTCCCCCCACCCCTGTGTGTTGGCAAGATGTCACTGTGCCAATGCCCACAAATCCAGTATGATACTTAAAACTCAAGCTATAACCCAGAAGGTGTGATGTTAGGTGAGGACAGGAGGAGGTTGAGTTCCATAACGAAGTGATCTTAAAACTCCATTCCCTTCACTCCCTTAAGTCTCCATTCACTCACTGCGCAGCAACAGATGTAAATAATCCCTTCAAAAAAATTAATCAATGATAATAATTTGGTCATTCAATCCTTCAATCCACGACCGTTTGAGGGACACTGCTGTGCACAATTGGCTGCCGAGTTTCGCCCACATAAAATATACAGTCAATTCGCTTTACAATTCGCTGTGAAGCGCTTAAGACGTCTCAAGACGTGATAAGGTGCTATATCATCTGTAAGAATTATTATTATTATGAAGAACTGTGACCAAGTCGGTGCCTTGAACACACGAGGAAGGAGCTCTTTGCAACTAAAGGTGTTGTTACTTCAACAGACAAGTTTCTTCATCACCACTGCAACAGAGGAAAGTTCTCTTCAGGAGATATGTTCAACCATTTCAGCAGTCCCTGAGAGAGCATTAGCCATTGTCAGTCCAGCTGAGGACGAACCAGTGAGTAAAGTTTCACACCACCCTTGGCCGAAGGACAGAGCTGCTTCCATAACCACTCTTCGGTGAGTATTACATCCTGTGAAAGGCAAAGTTTAAACCTGATGAGAATCCGTGTTAGTTACACTAACAGCAGAGTTACTCAGCCTCCTGCTTGTCCCTCGTCCCCTCCGCTCCACCATCGGTGGCCGTGCCTTCAGCCACCACTCCCCGAAACTCTCACTCTCTCCCTCAATCCGTCCGCCTTGCCCCCTCCCTCCCCACTTTCCAATCCTGCCTAAAGAAAGACCTTCCTTTTTGATCGTGCTTATGGTCACCTCCCTCACCCCCTGGTTCAGGGAAAGAGTCCGCCACTGTCAAGCGCTCCAGGACTCTACCCCATGTGAAGGGCACTGTATAAATGTTGCCGACAAAAGTTGTTGTTACTTATACAGGTTGACCAAAAAGTCGATACCATTTATTTTAATAATAATTAATTATAATTTGGTCACTCAATCCACGACTTGGATTTGACTTATCATGTCGTTGTGATGTCTCAAAGCGCTTCATAGAATATACTCTAAAGTGAATTAATTGTTTATTTTGTGGGCGAAACACGGCAGCCAATTGAAAGTGATCCGCCAATCGATTCACAACCGGTTTCTATTCACTGCTGGGTAAACAAAGGCGTGTGTGAGGAGTAAGAAAACCTGCCCAAGGTTTCGTCCTGGCCCGGGAATCGAACCTGGGTCCTCTCGCTTGCGAGGCGAGCACTCTTAACCACTATGCTACATGACTCCACGAATTCCGTATTATATGCTACTTATTGACAATCTTCCATTATCAGTGCGATGTTTGCCCCAGTATCCCCCCTTCCACCGCCCCCTCACTGGCTCTCAGTTACCTCTGCTTTGACGAAGACAATGCTGGTTGATTCATGAGCCTCAGGGCCTCCAATCAGATAGTTCTGCCTCACCTCCTCCACCGTCAGTTTGCACCTGAGCATTGAAAGCAGAGAATGGTACCTCACTCTCAATACCCACATCAATATATCCGTGCAGAACAGCGGGGGTGACAGCGGCCATTAAACAGATGGAAAGGAAGGTGATCTCTTTGAAAGAGCTTCAGTTAGCATTGGTTTACAGCGGGTAGCTTTCAACACCACATCTTCCTAAGGAATCCATTCCCATTGCTGGATTGAGCTTTGCATTATAATAATAATAATCATGATCCTTACAATTAATACAGCGCCTTATCACGTTGTTGAGACATCTCACAGCGCTTCACAGGATACACTGTAAAGTGAATTGACTGTATTTTGTGGGAGAAACACGTCAGCCAATTGCGCACAGCAGCGTCTCCACAAACAGCCGTGGATTGACTGACCAAATTGTTAATTTTTTTTGGAGGGATTATTACCTTCAGAAAAGTGACCTGTCAATCGACTAACAACCAGGTTCCTACTTACTGCTGGATGAACAGAGGCGCGTGTGTGGAGTAAGGAAACAGAAGCGCAAAAAGCACTGTACCTCACATAAAATTCCGCACTGGGCCGACCTGCACTTCGATTATTTTGGGCAACTCCCAGCAACACAGGCCTGCTCAGGCATGCCTCGGGAATATTCACCTGATGAACAAACAATTTATGTAGCATTTATAAAGCGTCCTTCTCTTAGGGTAAGGTCTGAGTGCGGATAAAGTAACTGTGTACCTCACAAGCCCTATTTCACTCGAGATAATAATAATAATCCTTGCATTTGACCCAGCACCTTATCATGTCATCAAGACATCTCAAAGCGTCTCAAACAAGATACACTTAAAGTAAATTGACTGTGTATTTTGTGGGCGAAACACAGCAACCAACTGCACAAGTACAGATTGAGATCCTCAAGTACAATATTATACAAGGGATGATATTCAACAACTTGCATTGAGATAGAGCCCCTCACGCAGGGTAGCTTCCCATAGCGCTTGTTCATCAATTAATTAATTATTATTAATAATAATAATCCTTGTTTTTGATATAGCACCTCATCATGCCATTGAGACATCGCAAAGCACTTCACAGAATATATTGTAGAGTGGATTGACTGTAGTTTGTGGGGTGAAACGCGGCAGCCAATTGTGCATAGCAACGTCCCACAAACAGACGTGGATTTGTTTTGAACAATTACCTCATCCCTGATCTCTCCTAAAATGGAGGAAAATAGCTCCTGGACAACCAGCTCCCTTGAGAGGTGCTCAACACGGATGGCTTCTTCCGGAATGTTTTTCACAACCGCCTGCAACAAGAGAAAGCAGAAAGCAAGCGGATGCTAAACATAAACCAGGCACCAACATTCTGTATACAGAGTCCTTGTGATGTATTGATTAGAGCACTCGCCTCACAAGCAAGAGGACCTGGGCTTGATTCTCAAAGCGCTTCATAGGACATACTGTAAAATGAATTGACTGGATATCTTGTGGGCAAAATGCAGCAGCCAACTGCACACAGAGTGTCCCATAAACAGTTGTGGATTGAGTGAACAAAATTTTTTAAAGGGATTATTACCCCAGGAAAAGCGACCAGCCAATCGACTAACAACTGGGTTCTTCCTTACTGCTGGTAAACAGAGACGTGTGGAGTAAGGAAATTTGCCTAAGGTTTCGCTCCACCTGGGAATCGAACCCAGGTCATCTCGTTTGTAAGGCAAGTGCTCCATCCAATAAGCAACAGGACTCCACAAGTATAGAGGGGTATAGAGGAGAGGACTGGTGTGGAGTGCAACTACGTATAAATGGGCCAAATGAAGTGTTTCTGTACCATATCATCAATAAACTTTCTAGTCCATTTAGTGCAATTTCAATCTAGACAATGACTGATTTGATTAGTCTCAAAGCACTTCATAGAATATACTGTAAAGTGAATTTGACTGTATGTTTTGTGGGTGAAACACAGCAGCCAATTGCACACAGCAGCGTCCCACAAAGAATCATGGATTGAGTGGCCAAATTATTATTATTATTCACCCCCGGAAAGCGATCCGCTAATTGACTAACAACTGCGAGTGTGTGGAGTAAGGAAACTTGCCAAGGTCTGTCCCGCTCGGGATTCAAACCCAGGTCCTCTCGTTTATGAGCGAGTGGCCTAACCACTGAGCTACAGGACTCTTCTGGACGTCTTTGGTTAGTACGAACCTTGGGTTCTGGGTGACCACCTGGAATATCGACCTGTCCAGCTGCCTCCGCTACCTGCTGGCTCCTTCTCAAAAACACAAAGTACCCATCCTCTGTCTGTAGCATAGCGCCAACACCAAGTGGCTCAGCCAAATAGGCCTGGCTGTCCCCAAAGTCCTCCAGACCCTGTTGCTGTAGGAATGAGGAATCTTTTGACCAGTTTGTCCCAATGTAGTCTTTGTAATCGGTCAGGCCCAGACAGAAGGTCAGGATTCCGTTTTCCTGACTCATCGAGTGAATGCGGAATTTGGCTCCGTTAAAAAGCCATTGGTTCTCCAGGCAGCGCTCCCCCCATATCTCCTCGATCTTCTGTTCGTAGCTCGGCAGCACCCGGCGGTTGTACTTGGAAGAGATGTCAACTTGGACTTTATCCTGGGTCAGCCCTTCCTTGAATGGGCACTGAAACATCAGCGAGATATCTGGATCCTCATCCATGCCTTTCTTCAAGGCCATTGCCCCAAGTTCTGACAGGAGAAGTAAAAGAGTTAGAACCTGGTAGCTTCATTCTGTAGCATATTGGATACAAAACTTGCCTTGCAAGCGAGAGAACCCAACAATAACAACAACAACAAGATTGCATTTATAGAGCGCGTTTCACGTCGGGAGGACGTCCCAAGGCGCTGGACAGTTGGGTCTGGAGTTGGAGTGTGGGAGGGAAGGGGTGGGGGTTGGGTGCAGTGACCGCGGAGCGGATTCCCTTGGTTTTGGATTCAAGGAAATCCAGCATCTCCTCGCAGTGAAGGTTGGAGGAGATGACCTGCGCGGGGTGGGGGGGGGACGGAGAAGTCGGGATGTGGTGGAGAACAGAAGCCTGAGGTTGTTCTTCGCCTCCAGGATTATCCTGGAGTAGAAGGACGACTTGGCCGAGGCTAGAGTGGAGCGGTAGATTTTGAGGAGGTCCAGCCAGATTTGTCGGTGGACCGTTAGGCCAGATTTGACGCAGGTGCGTTCAGCGGCCCACACCTGGCTCTTCAGTGAGCGGAGGTGGGTGGTGAACCAGGGGGAGGAGCGAGAGTAAGAGACAGTATGGGAGGTAATGGGGGCAGAGTGTCGAGTGTGGAGGAGAGGGTGTTGTGGAGGAGGGTGAGAGCAGAAGAGGGGTCAGTGAGGGTTGAAGGCCAGAGGGAGAAGAGTTCAGAGGACACCAAGGCAGCGGTTAGAGATTGTGGGGGTACTTCTTCCAGGGGCGGTAGAAGATGGTGGTGGGTCTGGTGGAGGTAGGGAGGGGGGGTGGAGGTAGTGAAGGAGATGAAATGGTGATCGGAGACAGCCTTATCGGTAATGGTGACACCCAAGACACTGAGGCCCCGGGTGATCACCAAATCGAGTGGGTGGCCGTTAACATGAGTGGGAGAGGTTGAGCAAGGAGAGGAGGGAGGAGAAGTCTGAGGAGGTGGAGCAGGAGGGGGTGAAGTGCAGGTTGAAGTCGCCCAGGATGATGAGGCGATTAGAGCAGAGGCAGAGAGATGTTAGGAGGGTAGAAATGTCGGAGATGAAGGTGGGAGAGGTTTTAGGGGGCCAGTAGAGGAGGAGGATTTTGAGTGAGAGATGGGAGGGGTGGGAGAGGGTGAGGTGCTCAAAAGAGGGGAAGGAGCCAGAAGAGTAGGGGGATAGGGCAAGTGGTGTCCTTGAGATAAGGGCTACACCACCGCCAGGGCGGTTGGGGCGAGGGATGTGGTGGGAGGTGCAGCCGGGTGGTGTGACCTCCGTGAGGGGGAAGGTATCGCTTGGGGTGAGCCAGGTTTCAGTTAAGGCCATGATGTCAACGCTCTCATCAAGAACCCAGATTCGATCCACGTCTTCAAGACATCTCAAAGCGCTTCACAGAATATACTGATAAGTCAATTGACTGTATACTTTGTGGACGAAATGTGGAAGCCAATTGCGCACGCAGTGTCCCACAAACAGTCGTGGATTGAGTGACCAAATTATTTTTCGTAGAAATTATTACCCCACCCCACCCCAGAAAGTAATCTGCCAATCGACTAACAACCAAGTTCCTACTTACTGCTAGGTAAGCAGAGGTGTGTGAGTGTGTGTGTGGAGTAAGGAAACTTGCCTAAGGTTTCACCCTGACCCGCCCAGGAATAGAACCCAGATCCTCTCACTTACGAGGCGAGCGCTCTAACCACAACACCAAAGGGCTCCACATAATGGGTCACTGGGAGGCCAGGAGCCAACTATGAAACAGCTGGATTGTGTAATGGGAAGATAGTTGCCCCGATATTCTGGAAAGAATGTGATTAGCCTTGTTCATCCAATCTTCGCTTGTCATCTTCTGGCCATAAACAGCTTTAAACTCTCAAAACCCTCAGCTGCGGACAGCAATAACAGCAGAAGTGTTGCACGTAATCACAGCATTCAGTCCAAATTGCTCGGCAATCAGGGTCAGAGCTGTAAGACGCATTCAACATTGTTCCTTTAATTACATTTGCGAGCGGGGTTCCCCTCTACACTCCAGTTAGATTAAAAACAAACAGCCATTAACATTCCCGTAAGCAGCCACTTACTGACCCCCTTCCCAGCTGGGAAGCTTCTAGGATTGGGATGAACTCAATTGATGATTTCCATGGAACCTCTCCGATTGTGGTCCAGGACTGGCCCTCAGCTATTTGAGCAACGCTTTAACTGTCTCTCCCATTGGTGCTGACTTGTGCAAAATTTGGTTTGTCTGGCCTTAATTTGGTCACTCAATCTACGACTGCTTGTGGGACACTGCTGTGTGCAATTGGGGTATGAGCAGTGGAGTGGGGACTAGTTGGGGTAAGAGCCGGGGAGTGGAACTAGTTGGGAAAAGAGCGGGGGAGTGGGGACTAATTGGGGTAAGAGTGGAGGAGTGGGGAATAGTTGGAGAAAGAGGGGGGGAGTGGGGATAAGTTGTGGTAAGAGCAGGGGAGTGGGACTAGTTGGGGTAAGAGCGGTGGAGGGGGATTAGTTATAATAATAATAACTCTTGCATTTGATATCACGCCTTATCACGTCGTTGAGACGTCTCAAAGCGCTTTAAGGAACCTACCGTGAAGTGCATCGACTGTATTTTGTGGGCAAAATGGGGCAGTCAATTAATAATAATAATAATCCTTGCATTTGATATAGCGTTTTCACGTCGGGAGGACGTCCCAAAGCGCTTCACAGAACACAATGTAAAGTGAATTGACTGTATATTTGTGGGCGAATGCGGCAGCCAATGGCGCACAGCAATGTCCCACAAACAGTCGTGGATTGAAAATGACCAATTTATTATTGTTTTTGGTTTTGGAGGATTATTATTATGCTCTGTGTGGAGTAAGGAAACTTGCCCGAGGTTTCGCCCTGTGAAGTGAAGTGACTGAGTTTGTGGGAGAAACCCAGCAGCCAATTACACACAACAGTGTACAAACAATCGATGATTGAGTGACCAAATGATTATTTTTTTTGGGGGGGGGTGAACGATCCACCAATCGACTAACAACCAGGTTCCTATTGGTGCTGGGTAAACAGTGTGTGTGTGTCTGTCTGTGTGTGTGTCTTTGTGTGTGTGCGTCTGTGTGTATGTGCGTCTGTGTGTGTGCGTCTGTGTGTGTGTGTGTGTGCGTCTGTGTGTGTGTGTGCGTCTGTGTGTGTGTGCGTCTGTGTGTGTTTGTGTGTGTGTGCGTCTGTGTGTGTTTGTGTGTGTGTGCATCTGTGTGTGTGTGTGTGTCTGTCTGTGTGTGTGGAGTAAGGAAACTTGCCTAAGGTTTCTCCCTGACCCACCCGGGAATCGAACCCCAGTCCTCTCGCTTGCGAGGCGAGTACTTTATGAAGCATTGACCCCACTGCATATATACATATATATAACTGTGGACGCTATATAAAATGCGGAGCATTATGTAAGTTGAAGCAAAGTGGGTGTTACTTGTTTTGTGTTGTGTGGGGAGAGTAATTCAGTTAATATAATAATATAATAATATCAGTTAATATATTAGCAGATGAGTTTCAATGTGGAGAAATGTGGGTAATGCATTTTGGTAAAGAATGAGGGGCAATATAGGCGGTAATACAATCTTAAGGGGGTGAAGGAACAGAGAGACCTGGGGGGGCAGGTAAATGAATCCTTGAAGGTGGCAGTACAGGGAGATAGGGCTGTAAAAAGGGCATATGGGACACTGGGCTTTATAAATAGGGACATAGAGTACAAGAGTCAGGAGGTGATGATTAACCCACATAAACACTGGTTAGGCCTCAGTTAGAATACTGCCCCAGTTCTGGGCACCGCACTATAGGAAGGATGTTACGGCATTGGAAAGGGTACAGAGGAGATTTACGAAGATGGGACCAGGAATGAGGGACCGTGATGATGAGGAACGGCTGGAGAGGTGAGGATTATTCTCATTGGAGCAGAGAAGGTTACGATCACGGCTATGGGGAGAGTGGGGGAGTGGGGTTGATCAGGGCTGTGGGGAGAAAACGGGGGAGTGGGGTTGATCAGGGCTATGGGGAGACAGTGGGGGGGGAGTGGGGTTGATCAGGGCTGTGGGGAGAACGCGGGGGGAGTGGGGTTGATCAGGGCTGTGGGGAGAAAACGGGGGAGTGGGGTTGATCAGGGCTGTGGGGAGAGAACCGGGGGAGTGGGGTTGATCAGGGCTGTGGGGAGAGAGTGGGGGAGTGGGGTTGATCGGGGCTGTGGGGAGAGCGCGGGGGGGAGTGGGGTTGATCGGGGCTGTGGGGAGAAAACGGGGGAGTGGGGTTGATCGGGGCTGTGGGGAGAAAACGGGGGAGTGGGGTTGATCAGGGCTGTGGGGAGAGAGTGGGGGAGTGGGGTTGATCGGGGCTGTGGGGAGTGCGCGGGGGGAGTGGGGTTGATCGGGGCTGTGGGGAGAGCGCGGGGGGAGTGGCGTTGATCGGGGCTGTGGGGAGAGCGCGGGGGGAGTGGGGTTGATCGGGGCTATGGGGAGACAGTGCGGGAGTGGGGTTGATCGGGGCTGTGGGAGAGCGCGGGGGAGTGGGGTTGATCGGGGCTGTGGGGAGAGCGCGGGGGAGTGGGGTTGATCGGGGCTGTGGGGAGAGCGCGGTGGAGTGGGGTTGATCGGGGCTGTGGGGAGAGCGCGGGGGAGTGGGGTTGATCGGGGCTGTGGGGAGAGCGCGGGGGAGTGGGGTTGATCGGGGCTGTGGGGAGAGCGCGGGGGGAGTGGGGTTGATCGGGGCTGTGGGGAGAGCGCGGGGGGAGTGGGGTTGATCGGGGCTGTGGGGGGGGGGCGGGGAGTGGGGGGGAGTGGGGTTGATCGGGGCTGTGGGGAGAGCGCGGGGGAGTGGGGTTGATCGGGGCTGTGGGGAGAGCGCGGGGGGAGTGGGGTTGATCGGGGCTGTGGGGAGAGCGCGGGGGAGTGGGGTTGATCGGGGCTGTGGGGAGAGCGCGGGGGAGTGGGGTTGATCGGGGCTGTGGGGGAGAGCGGCGGGGGGGACGGGGGGAGTGGGGTTGATCGGGGCTGTGGGGAGAGCGCGGGGGAGTGGGGTTGATCGGGGCTGTGGGGAGAGCGCGGGGGAGTGGGGTTGATCGGGGGTGTGGGGAGAGCGCGGGGGAGTGGGGTTGATCGGGGCTGTGGGGAGAGCGCGGGGGGAGTGGGGTTGATCGGGGCTGTGGGGAGACAGTGGGGGAGTGGGGTTGATCGGGCTTGTGGGAGAGCGCAGGGGGAGTGGGTTGATCGGGGCTATGGGGAGAGCCTGGGGGGAGTGGGGTTGATCGGGGCTGTGGGAGAGGGGGGGGAGTGGGGTTGATCGGGGCTGTGGGGAGAGCTCGGGGGAGTGGGGTTGATCGGGGCTGTGGGGAGAGCTCGGGGGAGTGGGGTTGATCGGTGCTGTGGGAGAGCGCGGGGGGAGTGGGGGGTTGAATCGGGGGCGTTTTGTGGGGGAGAGTAGCGCGGGGGGGAGTGGGGTTGATCGGGGCTGTGGGGAGAGAGCG